GATTCTAATGAATACTTTACAATAATATAGCTTATACATCAGAATAAGATATGGGCTATAATTTATATACATATTTTTATGTATATCTGTCTTTCTGTCTGAATGTTACGCCTTCAGCCTATTCTACGCAGACTTAGTCGCGGGCAGCAGCTAGTATGGCTATAATTTTAAGAACATAGATCGAGTTCTCGAAATATCACTATGATGTCGCATTGATATATCTGAGAAATCATAATATATACTTGTTAACGTTCCAAGATTCAGACATTGCCTAGCTTGGAAGTTCCAGTGGACTACACTTATTCCCTGATTATAACTTACCCTAATTAAATATAAATGGTCTGTGTTGTTATTACCATATAAAAAATAAAATATAAACTACTGTTTATATCATAAAACAAGTGACTTCTCCTGGATAAAACTGGATCAAAAACTCACATAATCGATACCACAGGAGACAGCTAGAGTTTTATTTTCTTGAGAACTCCATAAACGCTGTCTTTATGCCGCCATTATTTCACGTAAATCCGTACCCGCGGTGTAAACAACACCTTCAATCGAATTAATTCATTAGATATGCGTTCTTACAGTTCAGTGTTTCGTGTTTTTTTTTTTGCTTCGGCCAACACGAAGGTATGCGATGGCAACAAGTTATTTAAATTAATGATTGGGTTTATTAATTATTTTCAATCACTCATTGCGAATGACAGGTAAAGGGCAGTTGTGTTGTGTCGCTAAAATTTAATAAAAAATAGTTAAAATTTTTATAAAAAAATGCAAATACTTGAATTTATTGATATAATCTGTAGATATACTTTAAATAAACTTGAATTGTTTTCCAGCTTTGTGAGTTATAAGACTCTTTTATATTTAAATATAAATATAATGTATAAATATATATGTATAGGTCGGCATGTATAAAACTACTCTACTGCAACACGTACGAATAATGTGTAAAGATCAAGGACAGTGCAATAATTTCATAACTATTAACAATAATTCATAACATTCATAACCTTTGGATTTATTACAATCATTTAACGATTATTTTATACTGTATAAAATAACAGAATCTACCATACTTTACAAAATTTGCTAAATAAACAACTTAACTAATTCATAGATTTTATCGAAATATATCATAATATAATAATATATCATAAATTACCAACGTTTTAAAAACTTAGTTTTTGATGTGTGTTTGAATTTAAAGATATTTAATAGTTTTTAACATTATAATTATTATTATAATTGAACAGCAATATTTTTTTACAGTATTCACACATAAATATAATAAGTTCAGGAGAAAATTTCATAAAAATAAATAAACTTTAATTTACCAAACGTACCTGGTATTTCATTTTCATATTTTACCCGCTCCATTAATAAAAAATATAATGTTTCAACCTCTGTATATTTTCGGTATCAAATACATTTATCCGTTTTTATTCCTCTGACGGGCGTTTAAACATACATTCATTTTTTTCCACTGACAGCCAGTATGTCGCGAGCCAGTCGATTCGTGTTAAGAACACCTTACTAATTCGTGTTTTTTGTGGGAAAGTGATCGACGGCGCAGTTGTTGACTTGACTATTTAAGTGTAATAAATCGATTTGTTTTTATTGATAACTTAAATCTCGGCAGAAATGTAGACCAAAAACGGTTTCAAGGTTTCGATTGCATGAAATAAAAAACAAAATAAAATCTTTAAAAATTTATTTTCAATGGATTAAAATGAAATTTTTACAAATAATTTGCATCTAACTGACATGTCACAGTATTTTTTTTTTTTTAATTTTTCTTATCGTTTTGACTTAATTAAATAAAAAAATGTAATAAATAAAACGTTTGCACTTTAGGTGCAAAGATTTTATTACAATAAATCATGATTTTTTTTTCTCAATTCTATGGAATGGCAAGTTATAAGCGTTTCGCTATTGGTCAGACTCGTTTACTACAGAACAAAAGAGATGTTGGAGGTATTTTGCCAACCAATGTGAGTAGCAAACATCTTACCTTTATCATGTATGAACATTCGTTTCATGCGGGGTTATAAGGGTAGGGATAAGGTTATAGGGGTAAGGCCCTAGTAATTCTACCGAAATGAGGTATTAGTGTAACAGGTCCTTTTATGAAAGCTGTTTAACAAATAATCATTTGACAGGTGTTAGTTTCTAATTATGTATGCAAACGCCTCGACCCCACAAATCATTTAGCGCTGTTCGTCCGTAACTCACCACATTTACGGCAGTTCAAGCCGGCATCGTCCGTGGCGTGATCAGCGAATTCGGCCCCATGTAAATAATTCATGTTGGGATGCGTGTACACAGTTAATTGGCGTCGTAAATAACGGGGCCATGCGGACTAATTACTGTGTAAATTTCAGTTACAACGTCGGCCGCAAGGAGCACGCAACTCGCGTGGTGATACAATATAAATTAGATGGCCATAAATAATGCAAATCTCAACGAAAGTGTGACAGCTTAAAGAAGTATGAATATAACCCCCTACTTTTACGCTTTAAATTGTAAACTTTTGTAGATAAATGTACAAAAGCTCTCGGTCTATAAAATAAAGCTTTTTTTTTTTCAAGGATATTTTATTGAACTTACATTTATTTAGGGGCTCTTTCTTTACACTTATAATACAGAGAGCTTTTTAAATTAGGCGTTTAATTTCACCCACATAAAATTGAACTGTAATAAATTGCATTTATTTAGGGGCTCTTTATTTACTCCTATAATATATAAAGCTTTTTAAATTAGGCGTTTAATTTAACCCACATAAAACAAGGGCATTAGACAGACCGTCATTATCTTTATGTAACAAGTGGATATCAATGACTTCTACGCACGTACACTGGCTAAAGTTTAAAACATGACTTTACAAAGGAGTACTGTATTTAAAAATGTTGATAATAACACTATACAATTCAATATTTTACTACATTACATCACAATTTTTTATTCAAACATATAGGTTCATATTAATATTCAAAATTTTATTTCCAAAATCATAAAATATTTGCTGCACTAAGCATATTAATCAATGCAGGCCTCTAACAAAAATACGATAAATATCTTTTAAAACACTAATTCACACCGGGGTACAATCTTACAGAGATGACTCCGTGGCGCAGTTGCCAAGGTATTGGCTTCGGCATCGGGGGTCGTGGGTTCGATTCCCACACGGGACAACTATTTGTGCGACCCACAGATAGTTGTCTCTCATCTGGGTGTTTGTCCTCGTGTAATTTATGTTTGTAAAACGTCCTTACAACAGAGGACAATGTTATCCTAAAGTGAAGGCAATGTTTAAATAAAAAAATAAAAAAATAAAAATTAACATTTTGAAATTACTAAATTTTTATTCCCCAAAATTCATGATATCATTGCGAAATAAAGTATCTAATTAATTACCAAATTGTTAATCCGACCGATTTAACATAGGTTCTATCTTTACAGACACAGAACAGAGGTTGCCAGGGTTGCAGTGCGACACTACTCGTTTCGTACTTTTAATTAAAACTTTATAGTATTCTTTCAATGCTTCCATAACCAGTACCAACATAAAAAAGTCCCCTTAACCCAATTAAAATTTAACACCGTCAAGGCAATTACATTATTAATGAATGTCTCGCCGGAGGTTCTACGGAATTAATTTCTGTCGTGCTAGCCGCGGCAATTTAGGTGTGTTGCCTCGTTTTTATTTCTCTATTGAACGCAGTAATTCTTAACAATTAAATAAATATGCCCGCTTTATTGGGGCCGGTTATAAAACACCGCGATTAGAATCGGTGTAAGACTCCCAAAGCTCGTACCATTACACCACTTACCTCAAACGTGAGTTGTTAGTTGTACAGAGTCAATATTTTGAAGATATTTTAACGATGTATATTAACTAGAGTGAGTTTTTGAATGAAAAAGATTTTATGAATTTTGATTCGATTTGTTAATCCTATTTTCTCAATGAATGGGAAATTTAAACACAAATTACACACTATCAAATCTATAAAACATTTTCATGTAATTAAAATGTGTATTAAAAACAATGAACCTGTGCTTATTTCATTCTTCTAAAATTTCTTTTTGTGTAACATGTTATAAAAATATGTTGAAAATTCAAAAAAGAATAAAACAGTAAGTTTCTATTACTTTCATTATACACTTCTTAATGTCTTTATATGCAGTGTATCAACTATATAAGACTAGCAATTTTACGATCAAATTACCAATGTGCATTGAGGCTTTCGTTAGTGACGCTCCATCCTTTAAATGCGTTGATTGTGTAAAACAAATTCTTATTAAATGTAGGTTTGTTTTTGAGAGCTTTAAACAAGCCTTAATTGATAATAATTTAAGTATCCTAAAGGAAACATCTTAACCGCAACATTGCCAGGAAATATTTTTGAAGCCCCTAAAAAGCCCTAAAATTATTTATTTTGAATTTTAATAATAGTATTATAGTAATATTTGTCAGTATATAAGTACACAATATAGTGTTTGTGTCTTTATCATATTCCTTATAGATTAATTAAATTACATTACACTTAACCTAAACAGAAAAAAAATTATTAAAAATTATATGATGAAGCACTGATTAAAACATGAGCCATCGATATACATAAGGCCAAGTATCCCTGCTAATACGTACATACCCGTATTATAATTATGTTATACATATGATTGTTGATTTGAGATATGTTTCTTCTTTCACAAAAAATTGGAACAAGGAATAATTCAGGCACAGTTTATGATCAATGAATACCTGATTTGGGAACTAGTTCGTAGATATACACGATAGATTATAGCTAGGTAACAAACAGTTGTTTGAAGTGCAAATTGTTTTGTTTCAATAAGTTCAGTTCTTAATGTATAAAAAGATTTATACCTTAAGAACCGACCCCCACACTAGGCTGTTGCCTGTACTTAAAAACATTACGATCTACAGATTGATTTACTAATCCCGTAACTTTTCAGTTAATCGACTGGGACTTTCAGTTAATCGAAGTCAGCATGCGCGAAGCTGTGATCTCCAACCGGAGGTTATTTATTCGCGAACAGGGGACGAGGCTGTCGTAGAAGAGCTCGGTTACTCTGCTGCTTAGTTGATCTGCGGGCCGCGCGCCACCGTCGCATGACGTGACCGAATGCGCTGTCAGCCCGCATGACTGATGGCGTGCCTCGTCGACGTTAGCACCTGATTTATTACTTCCGAGCAGCGGCCCCCCCCACGCCCCCCACGCCCCCTTCCCCACACCCCGCCGACTCCCGAGTACGGACAGCAAATATGTGCAATCAAGAATTAGACAAACTTATAAAGATGTCACAAAGAACAACGCTTTCACAACGTCGACGGCCATCGGCGTCTCGGTCCGCACCGCAACTTCGATGGCCCTTAGATGACATGCCGTAGTTAAACGCACGCATGAGCACATGCGCGGACCTACACAAAGCGGAGGGACCAAACCCGTGGGTACTGGCTAGCCCACCGGTTCTGCGTCAGATGAAGCTTTAATAGTCTCGGGACTGAAAGCACAAACATCAGTTAATACAAGATACAAGCTTTCACAACACTATAATTGCTGTTCTTTATTAGGAGGTGGTTTTGCCTCAAATAAGTACGCTTACGCTTTAGCGATGCTTTATAATCGTTGCCCTTTTAGGTAGTCGTCTTGCTATATTTGTCCCCTTCTTAACGAAACCCATCGGAACCGAAGATGATGGGAGGAAATCGCATCCATAGGAGTTCTACGTGTCAGGTTTTCAAATTTGTTCTTTTTCCTGTGTTATACAGCAGGCAAAACTTTTGAGGACTCCGTGGCGCAGTTACCAAGGTATAGGCTTTGGCGTCGGGGGTCGTGGGTTCGATTCCCACAAGGGACAACTATTTGTTTGACCTACAAAAAAAATTTAATACTGAGCTAACGAACTACCAAACAATTGTTTGTATTGTAGACGTTAGTGTCATCAACGGGCAAAAATACCAAAATTCCATTGATTTTTGTGTTCCTCACAAAATACTTATGGCGTCTTTCTCATTTATATCTCTTTCGTTTGTACCTCATTAACCTCTGTATAGCTTCGTCATCAGCACTGTTGTCCACTAACTAGCAATGCCACAGATTTTTTATCTTTTATCTTTTTTTAAACACTGCCCTCACTTTAGGATAACGTCCTAACAACACAGAAGTGTTGTGAACTTTATGTTTGTAAAACGTCCTAACAACACAGAAGTGTTGTTAGGACGTTTTACAAACATAAATTACACACGGACAAACACCCAGATTCGAAACAACGATCTGTGGGTCGCACAAATAGTCGACCCGTGCGAGAATCGAACCCTCGACCCCCGACGCCGTAGCTAATACCTCGACAATTGCGCCACGGAGTCATCGGATTTGCTGACGCTACCCGCCGCGACAGTTCAGGTGTGCCGTACAATGTGTTAACAGTCGCGCTCCACGTTCGCCTCTCACTATTTATGTGCAATTCTAATAAACGTGCAGCGCTCAGCGCATTCGCTGCGAATGAACGCCGCTTCGATGAATACGCTATACGTTTACGTATTGATATCGCAGAAGCGAGAATGCGGTCTCGATTAGCGAACAGCTGAGGTGTTGGTATCCCCTGAACAGACTTAGGTTGTATTCCTGGTCCTATCGTACGAGATTTCTCAACCGCAGTACCAAATGAATACACAACTTTTATGGTCACTTTCTCCACCTGTCAGGTACACGCGCCATTTTTAACAAGAGTTAATTTATTATAAGCGTAAATTCAAATAATTGCTGAGAGAGTAGTAATGTAAAAGTAAGTAGAGAATAATTAATGAGAGTATCATACTATTATATGTGCACTTAAAAGCAACATGTTCGTTCAATTTCGTTATACATACTCGTTTAGGATAAAGAAATCGATTTGTTATTTTATACTGCCATTTGTTGACGATCTTTAGAATAATAATCATTTATTCCTCACCATACGAATGAGTACTTCAACGAATGTTATATAGTAAACTATATGAAAAACTTAACTGTGGCAGTTCGCGCAGAATATAACTACTACCGTTAATAAATTATTGAAGTCGAACCGAGTTTTAACGAGCGCTAAATAAAATATTCATTGGCATTCGCAACTTACGAAAATCACGCTTCAGTACAGACATAATGTCCTCGTAATAATATTTACAACGGCGAATCAAACTATAATAGCCGGTTCAGGAAACGTCGCGTAGTTTGTTGCTATCTTGTATCTTGTATTAACTGATGTTTTTGCTTCAAGTCCCGAGACTATTAAAGCTTTATCTGACACAGAACCGGTGGGCTAGCCAAGTTTGTTGCTAGCAATTATCGTCAAAACGATGTAATATGCTAAATCGCACGGCAATCTCACACCGGCCCAATCCCTGTCATGCCGAGCGTCAATACAAGAACACTCGTATTGTGTTATCACAAAGGCCGGCCGTAAACGGCGCGGCATCCACTGGCGTAAATCATTCCGTTTTATGAATTGTAAATTTTACGTTATACAGTCTTTAGTGGGTCATATTTCAAGCAGTATTAATGCCCCGCCCGCGGTAGGGTTGCCGCGACGGGGCACCGAGCTAAATTATTTCGCTCAGGAAGCTGCAGACATTAATTCGCATTACAAAACCCGACTCTCATCTGTTTGTAACGGGTTGGTAATTTACGCGTTTGTTTGCCGTCCGCAGAGGCGGATTTATTGTGATCCGAAGCCTTTGAGGAGCGGACGGGGGTGTTGCTAAACAAGTTTAGTGGCAGTGAATCGAATTTAACTATTAAAATAACGACTGAGAAGTGATTAACGCCGTCTTTGACTTGAACGTGATGTTTATTCATTCTTCCCGGAAACTTTTGTTTTGAAGTACTTCTAACGCTACAAAAGACTATCACAAATATAAGACCTGCATGAAAAATAATCATGTGCTCATGATGAGAAAGCTGAAGGGAAAGTAACGGGCTACTGAGTCACCACCCACAACTTACTTGGATATTAAACAGGGACTTGTGCCTACTTGTGTACTTTACCCGTGGGTAATTTATTTTGATAAGGATTACATTACGGAGTAGACACACATAGTAGACAGAAATATTAACCTGATATTTTCACAAAGAAGTATTTATAAATTCAATAAAGATACATGATTCGCTTTACTAATTCAATTAACGACACATTACTTTAGCCTTACATTTCATATATCCTGCATGTACTAAGTATCCTACATCTATTACATCCATGAGGTCATTGGTTCACTATATCTGAACTTTACTGGGGCATTAAAGCGAGTCACGTTCCCAAAAGAAGAACCATGTTCACGAATAAACGACGTGAAATGTCGTCGCAATTCGACGTCATTATCATGTTTATGTTAAACCTGAAACGTTGCAGATTATTAATAAATTACGGCTATTGATATTTCAGTTTAGAGCTATCAATTGATAAATCCTTATTGAAAAGTAAAGTAAAGTATCAGCCTATACATGCCCCAATGCTGGGCAAAGGCTTCCTATGTACAGAGGGTTTCAGGGCATAGTCCACCACGCGGCCCCACTGCGGATTGGCGGATTTCACATATATTCGAAATATTTTTTTTTTATTATTATTTCGAAAACATGCAGTTTACCTCACGATGTTTTCCTTCACCGCTGAGCACGTGATAATTCAGCACTTGAAATTAACTATTTCATTGGTTCCAGCAGCGGGGATCGAACTCAGGTTGCTCGAGTATATTGAATTAAAGGCGAGAGCCCGGACCCTGAGATATCACGGCTCAACCCTTATTGATCTAAGGCGAATATTGGAGTAGTCGTACTAGTTAATTTAGTATTTAAAATCACTTTCAAAATGCCATTCTAATGATCAGAATACACATTTTCATCTAAGTAACAAACAAAAGCATGCGTAATGATCAAAACCCACCGATAATGATTATGACGTGTCGTTATAACTATACTACTACATTCAGGTGAATAAATTCATTCAGTCCTTATCTGGTACTTTAAATCTCTGTTTTTTTATGTCACAACACATTAATATACAAATACCTGATGCCGTCCAATTAGATGGAGACGACATTAATGGAACTTAAAGATTCGGCGATATTATGCAAATGCGTGTAATTTAGAGGCTACCACCGTCTGATTATCTGATGCTGTCACGTTTGCATTAAATTAACTATAAAATATGTAATTATTAAACTTGATAAAGTTAAACAGCTTACGGAGTCTAACGACCTCTTTGCTTTTGGCTTAAATGTCGAGACGATTGTACCTGCCTGGATTATATTTCAACGAGACAACAATATTTCAATCACTATTAATATACTCCCAATGAGGTTATTCTCATAGGTAGTATAATAGTTATATTTATAAAAAATATGATGTACACATTGTTACACTTTTTCATTAAGTTATATTACCTAATATTACTTTATAGTCATTAATTTAGTTTTACTTTTATATTCTTATTTATGTCAATCCTTTCAAACCAATAACTATTTAGAATTTTTGTGTTACTTCAATGTTTATATGTTAACAAGTTGGGAAAATTATAATTGGGTCTAATGAAGATATCAAAACCTATAAAATATCAATTCTTTAACAATTGACTCTGTTTTTAGTTGCTCGTGTCTTCCTATTATTATTTTTTTATGTGAATAGTTGCCAAGTGAGCAGGTGGTTCACCTGATGTTAAGTGAATACCACCGCCCATGGACATCTGCTAAACCCGAGGCAGAATCGTTGACAACCTTTTGAAAATTGGGCTCCGACTACCTCACTCACCTGAAACGCGAAAGTATTATACTTCCACTTTACGCCGGTCTTCTGTGAGGTCGTGGTACTTACCCGGACGAGCCTGCCCTTTCGTGCAACAGCCGAGGCTGTTGCGTGGCGTCGTGGTACTTACTCGGACCGATCTGCCCCGCACAATTGCGTGGCTCTACCATAATTAGGTATTATTTCTTCGATTTCGTGATTGATTAATATTACTCTGTGGGATAAACGATCACTTGACGATGTCACCACGTCAATATTTTTTTGGTATCGTTTGGCAATGAGTCCCCCACTCTATATACGACTGTCGATCCGCCTATTCGTGTGGTGTAATTAAGAGCAGCCGCGGAACATCAATCAACGTCAAAGAATGATAAATCTGTTGTCTTCACGAAATTTTAATATTTATTAATTGATTAAGGAAAATTGTCCAAACATCACTTTCGGTCGTCGGTCACATTGGCGACATGCTCATTTAAATAATCGACCAATATAAATATTTACGCTGAATTTTCGTTTTCTTATGCCAGCGACTAAGCGATTCGATTTGTTTTCCATTCGAATGCCAAATATATTCGACGGAATAGCATTTCGTCTGGACATTAATTCGGAGTGATGTGTCGATAGCTGTTAGTTATTTAAGACGACTCCTGATAAAAGGTCCATTGCCATTTTAAATTAGCATATTTATGCCATCGACTTACGTGTTGTTGTTACAAACAGTAGTAGTTAAAGCTTTTTTGGCATATTTTATTCTATACCTCATTCCATTATGGACTTGGTGACAAATAAACACTTTTTCGTTAGAGACTTGCGGTCAGGTTGTTTGAGGCTCACACAAATTTTGGGTTTCTCGGAATTGTGTGGGTATTAATTGATGTGACTCGATCTAGTAATTTAGACACGGTGTGTAAATAAATAAATTAATAGATGTCTTGTAGTGGAAATAAATAAAACCTTTTGGAAAACGCTACATGTTTGAGGCTGCAGATGCATTAATAAATTCTTAAACTCATAAAATGAAAAGTATTTTATTTCATGCTGTGCTAGGGCCACGTACTGTCGTAGGGCCACGAAGCAGCCTCGGCTGTTGCAGTTGGGCAGGCTCGTAAGGGTAATGTACCACGACCCCAGAGAAGACCGGCGTAAAGTGCAAGTATAACAAATACTTTCGAACGTCAGATGAAGTCTGACTGTACCTTTAACCCTTCAGACAGCTTTCTCCCTTTTGAGAGGAGAAGCAGAACTTCTTGATGATTGTGTAATGGTTGCATGGTGGCTGGGAAGCATCCATTGAATGCTTCAACATACACTGAAGTAACAGGTTCCACCCTAGTAAGGTCGTTACACCAATCGGTTATTAGTTTTAATTTCTTACGTGAAAAACAACCTTAACATTTGTTATTTTACCTTACCTTAACATTTTTTATTATTGTTTTACTATGCGACAGGTTACAATTAGTAGATAGAAGTTATATATAGCTTTAAAAACATAACTTGACTATGTCTTTCTTTAATTATTCATTGAATCGAAAGAGCACATTTGTTCTCATCAATCAAACTATGTCTACAAACACATTATTTAACCACTCAGAGAAGGGAAACTATAGCAGCTAGATGATTGATTCCTAATTTAAAGGCAGGACAGTCATCATTAATTTCATTTACGGATGATCGATCGAATCTCTCCTTCGGATACAGTCGTACATCATTCGACCTAATCGTTGCACTGGAGTGTTCAATGGGGTGTATCGGAAAGGCAGCCGAAAAGAGGCCCGTATTTAATCAATCTTAAGAGATTACAAACACACATATATTACTTCAAGATAACGATTCTTTACGGCGGCGATGATTCAATCCCCACACAGACGGCCGCTTTGTGTGCCCGTCGTTTGGGTATCGATAAACAATATCGATATCGATTAAATTAACCGCACTCGCGGCGGGATACCTTTCCTCCCAATTGATAAATAGGGCCGTCAAAACCATCGCTTGCGGCATAAAGAAACGAAATGATGATGTACGCGCACGAGCTATAAAATAATAATACATTAGCAACCCTATTGTCGGCTGTACGTAATAAACAACTTTCGCGTGGAACGCCGATCGGCCTGAGGGCTGATTCATAAATTTCGCTGCGCGCCGTTTAGTTTTATGAACGATATTATCTATTTGCGCACTTCTCAGCGGCTGCGCCGTCTGTAAGCACACGCAACACCGCCGATTGTACAACAAAGACATGAAGTAGTAATTCTCCACGAAACGATGACCGCTCATTATCTCATATTTACGCTACGAATAAACACGAATCATTATCGATTAATGACACCGAATGAGTCTTACAGGGAACAATCCATTAACGGGCTCGGTGTCAGACACGGTTCGGGCCTTGTGTGGCTAGTATTAACATAATCGGGCGTTCGCCGAAGCGCTGTGTGCGGAGGGGTTTAATGAAACGTCTCCGGGCCAGCGAGACATGAAATCACTATCATTAAATCCGACACGATGCGGACGGTGATCATTAACCGCGCGCAAAAAGCTATAGAGTCGCTTGCGATGCAAATTGCGCACGCCATAAATCAAGTGGCTAATCACCATGCCGCGGGGCGATACGCGAGAGTGGGATTGTTTGCAAAAATTACATACAATGGCCTTTCCAGCTTGCGCGGCGGTGGGAACGCTGGTGTTGGACATTAAACACAGACATTATATAGATCCTCCAGATATTTCATATAGATCTCAATTATTTAACCTTAACAAGATGCTTCTAGACTGAGACAGGTACCATTAGCATTTCCATGTAAACATGTCCTCACTTATGGAGGTGAAAGTGTATCTAAAAATAGAATTCCGTTCCTTCAAATAGCAGCGACTGTCACAGATGGACACGTGCAAATTATTAAAATAATGGAATTATTCGAAATTGGTCACTCTAGCTACTGAACTAAGCGGTCTACATCCTCACCTCACAACATGCTGGACGTCTTATCTACTTTGTTTTTATTGCATTTGTAGCACTGCTTGGTGTTATCCGATGTGACTCTTTCACAGAAAAAACTTGGTGCTGCGGGATTCGCACCTGCGTCTTCTAGTTTCGCACCCAGAAGTTTTACCAACTAAGCGGCCTCATCGCGAGAAAATCTTGACATCTGACTCCGTTCGTTCTATTACATGTGAGGAATTTAAATTTAAGATGACAATGGCTACATCTCTCGGTACAAATAGTCATCGTTTAATGTTACTTGTAAGGTTTTGTATGCTGTAGAGATAAGATGTACACTAGATCGGACAAAGCAATGCTAAAGATGTAATGGAGCGATAGTAGATAAATGTCAAGATTTTCCCGCCGTGAGGTCTTCGGCCACTAAGCTTAGTTGGTAAAGCGTCATGGCACGAAACCAGAAGATGTAACGGTTTAAAGCATCGAAAGTTTTTATTCATTTATGTACTAAAATGTACAGTTTGAAGAATAAAGTCCACTGCTGAGCATAGGTCTACGTTATACACTAAGCTGACCAATAGGAGACTACCACTCGAGAACCTTTTTGCCTCACCAATTATCGGTACTTCGAGTTCTTGGTTATTACATTTCCGAATCATTTGCCTTTGGTTGTCTTGTCTAGTAGTCCAGAAATTGTCGCGGTGAGAAATTCAATCGCTTAGTAGTTGGAGCGTTTGAATGAGTAATTCAGAAGGCATAAGTTCAAATGATAGCAGAGGCGAAAAGAAAACAATTACGAGCCCGATCCTAGCACATAAATTAACTTCGAGAACGTGTACATAGCGAGCCTGTAGTATCTTAAAGTTCGATATCTATAACGAAACGCAGCCATACATATCCGAAGGCACAGTGACTGATGTAGCTTTAAATAGTCCACCGAACGGAAAGCACGACCGCGCAACAAAGACAGAAGACGCGGCACATTTCAAGCTTACAGACGAAGTTGAAACAAGCTACGATCATAATTCAGGGCGAACAATAAAGAGAGCTATTGATCTCGCCCTCGACAGAGAACAGAACATGCTACCGGCGGGCATAAATCTCTATTATTGCCGCAGCAAGCTTACATCGGGCTGTTTCAGGTGCTCCAACCGGATCCTGCTACGAGCTCACGACTCGTGGGTTTTTTCGCCCGACGCACCGCAGCCCCCGGGCGGCTGGTGCCATAAATAAATAGTAATACAACCATTTATATTACCAAAGGGTTTCGCCCGACGTGTCTATTATCATCTGAATTGTTTTAATATGATAATGCATCAAAATAGGCGGCGGCCCCCTCTCGGCCGCGACTTCTGTTTCGCCATTATCATAAAGATTCACTTAATGGACTGTTTCGGAATTATTATGGTGGTTTGACGCTGTTTTATGGTTGGAAAGATTACCGTACGTCTAAAGCTGAACGTATACAAGTATATGTAGGCTGTACAAAATTTCTCCATCAAATTCCTGAATGTAAACATAATAAAATATTGATAAAGTAAAATACAAGAATGTAAAAATATTTTTATCGTCATAAAAGTTTCTTGCGAAATTTATACCCACGTTTTAGGATCTTAATACATGGGTGATTAAGTGATGAATTATCTGATCCCATCGCGCTTTTAAGCACGAGGACAGGATAAAACGTATCATCATGGTGATAGCTCTAATAGTGCAGTTAATAAGCAATTTGGTTGGGATTATTTCCGCTCTGAATTCAAAAGTCAATAATCTGCAAATAACTGTTTTCAATCTCAAATGAAATAAATTAGATTAAAGTGCTTTTGTAATACAGTGTAGATTTATCCCATAGTATATTGTACAAGGTCGTACAGGGTACAGTTCCTATTGAGTACAATAATTACATTACTCCAGACAATTCTTTATGTGCTGAGATAATAGTTATTAGACACAGAGTATTAAATAATGACAGAACCGTTTTTGAAATCGCTTCGTTGCAACGGAAGGGATAATCATATTCGCAGATTACAATCAAATATAACTATCACCATCCGGTTCTGACGGTACGAGGCTACATCGGCGATGTTGCCGCATAAAAGCCGGCCGCGTAAAGGGGCCATAAAGTACCCCTAATAAACCCCGAAACGTACCGACACGACTCACAATAACCGTACGCAGACTAAACAAACGATTCTGCCGATCATAAAAACTTCACAATAAAAGCGCTCGCTGAATGCCAGTCATTAAGTGTATTTACGCAGCGAAACGGATATAGGGGGCAGTAAAAATGCGCAGCGGCTTATTGAGATGTTGGCAACGGAGGGCATAATGTACGGCCCGTCTTGCTTGGATCTAGACTGTCGCTTAGGGCAGACTCAAATCAATGAACCAAATGTGAAAAACGCATTAGACAAGTGTAAATATACTCTTGAATTTATAAACCCAAATGTCATATACACCGATGGCATCGATTGTACATACATTCCACCTTTCCAAGGATGAGACAAGCACACAATAATCGTGAACGTTATCAGAATTGCGGCAAGAAGCCGTCCCTTTATTCAACGTTTTAAGAGGCAACTCGATAAAAAACGTACCAACGAGCGCGTTGCAATGAAAATGAATAAATTCGAATTTGTAGTCGTGACGTAAGATTTTACAGTCGAATTAATTCAGACTGTTTATCGGCTGCACGAGTACAGGCGGCTGCTTAAAATTAAGTCGGAAAGGTTACAACTGTAAGTAAGCGAACGCGTACGTTAGATCCTGACGTTGATATGAAAGCAACCGACAAACACCCTGCTTAGAATTCACAAATTACCGGTGAGTGAGATTTTATTCAGCGGCGCGCTGTAAGAGGATCGAAAATTAATTTCGACCGCGATAACAATGAGGCACGAAATGAGGCAGACGTCGAAGCGAGCCGAGCGGAAAGAAAATGAGTCTTATGCACAATAGAAATAAAAAGAGCAACACAGAAACCAGTATTTATAGTTCTATTGTTGTATCGGGACCGCTTTTTGTTGTAACGCGAGTTGGTTCTATTCAATCGGAACGGCTCGTTTCATTCATAATTTATCACTATATCGAGCTTTGTATTTAAATGTCCAGCGATCTCTGAGGACGAACGTAGATTAATGTACACGGTCGATTCGTGTTTTGCTTTTGATGATTCGACTCAAAACGAACACGTCACGGGGCCCTTTTCTCTTAAAAGCCACTGTACATAAATTCATGCGTATAGCACCACGTACTTTCGCCGTAATGCGATTAAAATTCCGCTACGAATTCGCATATAAAGGCGAACGTCGCAACAATTTGTTACGGCTGTCTAGCGGAGTGTAAAGCGCGCGAGTGTTATGAATGGTTTACACGAAGTGAAGCAATAAATTTTGAGGAGATTGTGATATGATTTCCGCGGGCCCACGATGCGATAGTTTGTCAGCCCTAGGCGGTTGTTAGGCGTGGGCGGTGTATGGCCGCCATCAATCACGCAGCGTGACTCTTTCAAGCTGCCGCGGGGGGCGCGGGGCGCGGGGCAGGGCTGCCGCAAACATAAATTACACCCGTTTTTGTCCGGCCGTCGAGCGGTGACGGAATTTGTTGGCGACAGTGTTAATTAATTACGCGTTTACATTGCTCACCGTTTCAGTCTGGCGACGTGATAGTGGGATTTCGGGGTATGATCAAACAAACATTATTTAGTAACCGATCATTGATGGATGTCGGTAAGACGTATAATAATGAATTTTATCGAAAAAAATCTATATATAATATAAAATATTTGGTATAAATTATATCAAATTTATACCAAATATTTTATATCAAATATATATCATAAACTAGAAAAATTCATTAGTACCAAATTAATATCAAAAATAAAGCTCTTCTGTTGCGATTTCTTACAATGAATTAACAATTACAACAAATTAACAGGAATGGCTTGGATTCTATAAAAACTTTATAAATTATATTTGACACCATGTTTCAATTACAAATTTAACAATACCAATTCATCATAAATAATTGTAACATTTTCATTACATTATATTTAACATAACATTTGCAGTGTCAGTCCAAAGCTGATGTATGTTTTCATTTAATGTTATTCATATACTATACCAAAAAAATGAACACTTCTCGAATATTCAAACGGTCGGTAGCCCTGTGTCGTTATAAGTGCGTTCTTGATCATAGTCAGCTACGGCTCAGCTGACGTTTTTATGCCGCCGCCCCGCGATAGATGGCGTCTGTCAGGTGCGCACGAAAAATCACCCCAGACGCCCCGTTCTAACAGAAACAGCGATTGATTCGTGCCAGCTTGATTAACGCAGAGCTGCCTCACGGGGTATTGGCTGAGTGCCCCACTATATGATATATACATATATGAATAGTACCGTTAGAGTGTTACAATTGATTTAAGTTCCGAAGATCTTAAAAGGTTAATCAATTACTATCCTCTGATTTTATTCCCACGACCAATATATATCATTGTCATTGATTTAGACAAAACAGCTTTCTTCTCTATCACAATCTTGACCAACAGTTAGAGTCGAAATCATTCAATTGTAACATTTTATTGGTTCTTAAAATACTTGTAAAATTCGATATGACTTACGTACAAAATACATACCTACCTATAATGCAATATAATATAAACACTAAAATATTTACAAAATATACGTCTAAATGTGTATTACATAAACGCATATTAAAACGAAGTTTAAATAAAACTTACAAAAAAAATTACAAAGGCTACCAAATGCACGTTGATAAAAACACAGACACTGTTACTTTATTTTTGCCATACACTTATTATACATATAGTTTTTGTTTTAACCAATTGATAGTATTAAATATTAACGATATTGACAGAAATTAATGATTTTTAGATAAAAATATTTTCTCATTAAATTACTGTAAATAAATGAAAACATTCTGTTGTTAATGTCATTTAAAAATATAATTCTTAAATATCATAGAACCTTACTTTGTATAGTGACATACACAAGCACTTTGATACATTAGCCATATTTGAAAAAAGAAGTCAGAACATTCGCCATATATTCTCGGGGGATTACCCGCAACACAATGCTCGTTGTTTCGCCCGGGAAATTAAACATTTGATTTAGTAGTCGCATCCGTAGACGGTGACATTGCGTCCCGTGGGAACGTCCCAGTATAGCGAATGAATGTATTCCCCTTAAAAATGTCGAACACGCATTTTGCATTTCGCTTCTTCAAGCTGATGAATGTGACTTTTAATTCCCAGAACTTAATATTAATACCACAAATTTGACCTAATTTTGGAACAATTACCAAAATTTTCTTCCCATGCCAAGCTGAAAAGCTATCGTTTTACTAATTGAATCAAAATTTAGACAATGAACCAATACGTTCATTGAGACCAATGTGACTGAAAGTGACAGAAAATTAATGCTTGTATTTGACGGACCCTAAGCCTCAGACAGTTATTCGAATATCTCAGTCACGAAGCTATCGCTGTCATTAAGATGAAACGCCAAATATGTCTACTCTATAAAAAAGGACAACTCTAACGAAACCAACGCGCCCGTTGATAAGCCATAAAACATTTTTATTTATGCCAATGGCGCTTTGTAAGATGTCCGATATAATGAATATATTACCGGTAGCGCGAGCGGGATCTCCTTTTCAAGAGGTAATTATTTACGGAAAACGATGGTCGGCTTTCTGATAAACAACGCGATAACAATACGTCCCCGGCATCGTTCACGCATTCCCCGGCCCCATCCATTACTGTTTCATCTTCAATAACAAGTTTCGCTGAGGCAGGCTCCACGAGCGCAGCCGTTGCGCCAATCTCAACCTTATTGTTAAACACCCAAAGCCTAATAACCGATAAAATCACATCTGCTACGTAGCCGCGCTAACTCTTTCATCTATCATAATCGTTCATGCTGAAAACAATCAAGATTGATTTTTTCTGCTAGCGAAAATACTCCCTAACTCTACGGTGATGGAGTTGAAATCCGCTTGCTCGTAGAAAGCTTTGTCGGTTGATATCTAACCACCGACGGAGGCGAACGTAGGTGGCGGCGTAACGAAGGGACCCACGGAAAATGACAAATGACATCTGCCTACCGCCTGTCAAATAACGGACAGATAATAAATGACCCCGATTGTTTATCATCAAATATCGCATATATCATTATCGCGTACTCAGCGCTTCGGGTCGGGAGGGGGAGGTG